CAGATGTATGAATAAGGAAAGAATTTATGACCAAACAAGAGATAGAGAACATTATGAAATGCAAAGTGGATAATTTTGATTTCATTAAATTAAAAAGGCTTTGCACAAACAAAACCAATGCAACCAAGATTAGAAAGAAAGCAGAGGTCAGCTAGGTGGCACAGTGTATACAGCACTGGCCCTGGAGTCAGGAGGACCTGAGTTCAAATTCAGCCTCAGATATCTGACACCTAGTAGCTGTGTGACCCTGGGCAAGTCACTTAACCTTGACTGCCTCACCAAAAAGCAAAAAAAAAAAAAAAAAAGGAAAGCAGAAAGTTGGGAAACAATATTTACAGCCCGCATTTCTGATAAAGGCCTCATTTCTCCAATAATAGAGAACTGAGTCAAATTTATAAGAATATAAGTCATTCTCCAATTGATAAATGGTCAAAGGATATGAACAGGCAGTTTCAGATGAAATCAAAGCTATCTATAGTCATATGAAAAAAATTCTCTAAATCACTACTGATTTGAGAAATGCAAATTAAAACAACTCTGAGGTACCCCCTCATACATATCAAATTAGTTAATATGACAGGAAAGGAAAATGATAAATATTGGAGAAGATGTGGGGAAATTGGAACACTAATGCATTGTTGGTGGAGTTGCGAACTGATCCAACCATTCTGTAGAGCAATTAGGAACTATGCCCAAAGGGCTATAAAACTGTGCATACCCTTTGATTCAACAATACCACTACTAGGTCTGTATCCCAAAGAGATCATAAAAAAGGGAAAAGAACCCATATGTACACAAATATTTATAGCAGTTCTTTTTTGTGGCCGAGAATTGGAAATTGAGAGGATGCCTATCAATTGGGGAATGGCTGAACAAATTGTGGTATATGATTGTGATGGAATATTACTATACTATTAGAAATGATAGCAGGCAGATTTCAGAAAAACTTGGAAGGATTTACACGAACTGATGCTGAGTGAAGTGAGCAGAACTAGAACATTTTACACAATAACAGCATCATTGTGCGATGATCAACTATGATAGACTTAGTTCTTCTCAGCAATATAATGATCCAAGACAATTCTAAAAGACTCATGATGAAAAATGCTATCCACAACTAGAGAAAGAACTAAGGAGTCTTAATGGAGACTGAAGCATATTATTTTCACTTTTTTCCTTTCTCATGGTTTTTCCCTTTTGTTCTGATTTTTCTTTCACAACATGACTAATGTGGAAATATGTTTAATATGATTGTACATGCATGACCAATATCAGATTGTTTGTTATCTTGGGGAGTGGGGAGGCGAGGGAGGTAGAGACAGAGAAAAATTTAGAACTCAAAATCTTACAAAAATGAATGTTGAAAACTATCTTCAAATGTAAAATACTATTTATTAAGTGAGGGAAAGAAGAAAAAGAAAAAAATGAGGCCTTAAAGATTAATGTAAAACAAAGATAATGCAAACTGGTAGAATGAAAAATGCCATTTATTTAAGCTCAAAAGACATGCCAATGAGGGATGGTCTGTGTATCACAAATTATCATGTAGACAACCACAAAGGGAAAGGCATGCACAACTTTCAGGACCTTGAAAAGGATAGAGTAACTGGTTGCTACCATACAGCTCTCAAAAGAGTAGCATCCCCCCCCTAGGACTAATGCATCCATTTTAAACTTTGTAGCCTTTTGTGAATAAGAACAATGTAAATAAAAACAAGATATAGGACAGATATGGTCTTACCAAGAAGGGGGCGGCTGCAACCATTTAACTCCTCAAAATGCAAAACCACTACATCTGTTGGGGGCAGACTCGGGGGGTGGGGCAGAGAGAACAGTGGCAACAATGGAAATTTATAGCAGCAATGGGTAGGATATGGAAAAGGATTGATTGGGGTATATAAATGGCATGGACACACTCCATATGGGGAAAACCTTAGACATAATGATGATGACATCAATTCTCAAAATAATGTTTATGATACTTTTATGTATATTTAATACCAAATATATCCACAATTACCTAAATAACCCAATCAACAATATCGGAATTAACTGAGATACTGACATTTTATATGAATTATGTGACCTGATGAGTTGACTGGAAATTTTCTTGAAAACAGATTAAATGCTACAGAGAAGCATGGAAAGCTCTATATCAGAGGTTCTCAAACTTATTTGGCCTACTGTCCCCTTTTTTAAAAAAATTACTCAGTGCCTCCCCGAAATCTTTCTTTGACCTTTTAATATTCTTAAAAATTTGTGTCATTTCAAAAAAATGTAAGTTTTTGTAAATGACACATCTTAAATTTAATAATTTATTGTAAATTTGTAGGGTTTTTTCTGCATTTAAATTTTGATGACACAATACAGTGTCATGTAACCATATAGTATCATATTGTAAACAAGTCATTATACACACACATTCCTGTGGATGCAAGATGGACTTCCCAAAAATGCACGATACACTTGCCTGCCAACACCTGTTTGTTGAGATCTGCTGGCGGACTTGACCACTGAAAATTATAACTTGCATTTTGTGTGTTTGGAAAATAACAGAATCACTACAATTTTAACTTTGTTATGCAACAAATGAAACATGTTTGAACAATTTTTTCCAAATTTTCTTATCTTCTCTTCTTTCCTTATGCTTTCACTGTCGCTTTATTTTTATTCAGTGCCCCCCCCCACTGCACCCAAGGCTACTACCACCCCCTGGATTGTTCCAGCTCCCCCACAGGGAACAGTATCACTCACTTTGGTTTATGAACTGATGCCGAGTGAAGTAAACAGAACCAAGAAAACAATATACAAAGTAACCACACTATAAATGGGAGAAAAAAAACAACCACATACAAAAAATCATAAATACATGTAACAAAATTATAAAGATCAAACATGACTTGAATGAAAGATATGAGAGAACTTCCCTAACCCACTTCTTCATGAAGGTAAGAGGTCTATAGGTGTTCCACATTGCATATGTTTTTGGATCTTTTCAATGTTGTGCTCAATTTTTTCCTTTTTTAAAAAATACTATTTGTCATATGGAATGACTCTTTGGTAGGGGGAGGGAGACAGATAGTGGGGATAACTATGATGATATAAAAAACCCCTAAGATATTAATAAAAACTTATTTAAAAAGGAAAATACTCATGTCAGAGCAGAAAGACAATTCAGCATTACAAATGACACGATATATTTGATACCATTTTTTTTTCTCTGACAGAGCTCAAAACCTTTTATGTAAAATGATTATGTGCCCTACTTTGTATATATTGTTGTTCCTACTAAACTTCGGTTTGAGGAAGATTTGTTTTTTGTTAGTATTGACCCAATGAAACCCTTTCACCAAAGACACATATTTACAAATTGCCTGGTTTGGGAGGGGGTCCATGGTCTGTCTGTGAAACACTTTTTTTTTCTTGTATAAAACTGACTGATCAACCTTTTGAAGGATCAACCCTTCAACTATGTTCACATCAGACAATGCTCTACCCCAATAAATCTCAAACTTTTTCAGTCTATGGATCATTTCAATGGGCCAAAGTTCCCAAGGGCCACCTACTTCTGCCTCTTTGGCTTGCTACTGCAGAGAGCATTCCCAAAATTGGTGGAAAAAATGATACTCGTAAAAAAAAAAGAAAAAATGATACTCATGAAATAATATCAGTCTTCTTAGATTAAGCGAATGAATGATCAATGACAATAGGTTTACCAAACTATAAATACTAAAATTTCTCTCAAATTATCTACAAGATCCTCACAGACCACAGGTTTATAGGTCAGAGCCTGAATTAGATAACCTCTAGAGTCTGAAAACTGATGTCCACTAGTCCAACCAACTCAGTTCACCATCCCTAGATTCTTGAAATAAAAAGCTACAAAAGTAATATACATATATATATATAATATATATATTATTTTTTGGTAGAGGAGGGCTGTTGAGTGACATATATCTATGTACTTTTGAGTGACCTCCATCTACGTAGCTGGACCACACCTCTAGACTCAGCCTTAACTTCTTGATTGCCAGAATAGGATTACTAGTTCCAATCTCACTGTGAAGTTTCCAAAATTCTGTTAGGAGTTTAGGAGTAGAGCAATCCCCAGTCTTACTTGCCCCTTCTCTTCCCTAATCCCTCCTCCCTCACTGCCACTGCCTCTTCTTACCTACTCAGGCTGGAACTCTGTGAAAGAATCTTATCAAGACAGCTGGGGTAGTTAGGCCCATTCCTGGTAAGCTTTTTACACGTCCACAATACAACAGAAATGCAAAAGAATTTTTTTTAATGTAAATTTTCTATTTTTCAGAAACTCAAAGAACATTCCTCAGTTTAAATCTACCCAGTGTTTGGAAATTCAGTTCTCCATATATCCTAAAGCCTAAATCAAAGCCTATGATGCTGCTTAATAAGATGTCATGAGAATTATGTATAATATTAAAAAAACCCTCCCTCTCACTCCAAAATGAAACTGTCACAGCACACATTTTGTTGGATCCTTCCTCCCCCACATATGAAAGGTCAAATATTCTTAGTAACAATTTATTATAATGTACCAACGTGGGTGTTTTATAGACCATAATATTCTTGTCAATGTAGTTAGAACTGCATGAATATGAGTCACAACTCTCAAGTATATAGTCAGGGGTTTAATTTACAGATAGTTTTAGAAATTAGCTTTGTTTTAACAAAACATTCTGTACTTCAGTTTAGTTAGAGACACAATTTGTGATCATTCAGTTTCTCTCTTGTCATCCTTTGGTAATTTTACTGGAACTAAATCAATAAAGGGAGAAAAGAGAATCTATTGTGCTTGTGTAAGGTAGCCACCTGGGTATTTTTCAACTGTGGAAGACATTTACTTGTGAAAACATTTAGCATGAAACTCAAAAGTACACATGCACACAGGGGGAAGGGGAGTAGAGGCCATGGGAAAAGCAGATGTAGGGGACATGAGGCAGGAGAGAAGAGGAGTGAGGAGGTCTGAATAAACATACCTCACAATAGGATTTCCATTATACAAAATGTAAATGCCAGCTTCTTTATTTCCATATATTTGATTGCTACGGATGATGCCTTTTCCATTGCCAAGGACAACGATGCCTGAACGAAGGCCACTGTGTATCTTATTACACTGCAGGATTTTTATGCACGTACGAAAAGAATAAAAGGCAAAACAGAAGAAATATCAGTCATGACAGTGAGCGATGGATGACAAAGACAAAAAGCTTCTGTACATCTAGACAAAGAATAGTTTGTTGTTTTTTATGAAAAAAATTAATTTCATTTTGCTTGGGATTTAACACACACAAAACCATTACAATGGACCATGTGCTTTCTTTTCATCTACTGAACATAATTTGGTCATGCTTCTCTAATGGTAGGTTGCTTGTCTAATTACAGATTCTTCGCCTTCCACTCTCATACTGGAAAAGGAGAGAATGTCAATTTGAATAATCTAATAAAAGACATATTCTTTAACATTATGCAAATCTAAAAGGGTGGCTGACTCTTCTCTCTGATGTCACTTATGAGGGCCAAATGATAACAGGAACAATAACAGCATTTGCATGGCACTCTAAGGTGTGTAAAGCACTTTACTTAGATTATCTCATTTGTTCCTTACAAGAACCCTATGAGATATTCTTATTATTCCCATTTTACAGATGAGGAAACTGAGGCTGAGAGAGGTTTAGGGGGCTTGCCCAGGGTAATATGGACAGTTAAATGTCTGGGGCAGGATTTGAACTCAGATCTTCTAGATTCCAAATTTATTCTGTCCACCATGTCTTAAGATGTTTCATAGGGTTAAAAAAAATGTATTAAAAGAAAGACAATTTTAATAAGCTTTTTGTTGGTCTTTCACAATCCCAGTATACCACCTAAAGAGGATGAAACACACTGATCTTGTTTAACAGATGATGCCGCATGGGCTGGTAAAAGTGAACCCTGAATTGTAAGCAAAAGCAGGGTGGTTGATTTAAAGCAGTCCCAATATCACACAGACCAAAGCAATTTCTTCCAAGGAAGCAGATGTCCTTTGCCTCCTCACTAGTAATAACTGTATGTTTTCCTTTGGATTGGAAAAAAAAAGATATGCTACCAAACTCTGTTCCATCCCTGAAAGCTACCCTGAGACAGACTCCTGTCCCAAGCTCCCTAAATAAAGATCATGCAAGAAAAGTTCAAATATGATGTGTTGCAAAACTGAAATACTAACGAAAGTTCCCACAAACTCCCTAAATAAACCTAGTTGCGGATATAATATTACACAATTATGATGGAAAAAGTCCAAATAAGATGTCTCCTAATGAAAAAATACAATACAGAAATATGAGGGAAAGACTTCTGTTTCATTGTGTGTCCTCAGACTTCTAACCTCTGAATGCATCCGTTTGTCCATAAACCGAGGATAATTGTATAATTTCTTCACAGTTTTCTCCTGATGTGGGTAGTAAGAAATCAGTGTTAACCACTGTGACTACTGGCACTTCCATTCCTAGCCCTTTCAGTAATCTGGACAGAAACTGTAGCCACCACAAGCTACCCTCAATAACATTCTTCTCGGTCCATAAAAAGACAGAGCACTTATTTTTCTTTTCAGTGAAGGTGGGAAACATTTCTTAAATGACAGTTTTAAAAGTAAAAGCTCTTATTTCAGAAATTAATCCTCTGCAGGCCTGATTGAGTACACTTTCCAGGATGTGACTTGCTTGTGCAGCCAAGAACCTTCCTTCTCATTTGCAACGACAGTTTTCTCACTGAGATTCCCAGAACTCCTAAAGATTACTCAGACATAAAAATCAATAGGCTCGGTTTACCCTACCAAAGAAGAGCATCTTCCTATAGACCAAAAGAATCTAACCCATCATTATACCTTATTATTGTCCTCCTCTGGATCCTTGAATAGAATACAGTGACATTTCTTTCTATCTATAAAAGTTTCATGGTTAAAAGCAACAGAAATACAGATTTTTTAATTGTTCACTTGTGTCTCAAAGGAAACAGGGAGGGCTTAATCCCCCCCCCCCCAGCTTCAGTAAATATGTCCTGAGAACAGCTGCTTCTAAAGAATATTTTTATAACTAAGATGGAACAAGCTTGGAGTACAAAGAATAAATAATGTTTCTGTTTTTTTTTTTTTTAATATAACCTGGCCCTTTCCTACTCTTCCAGTCTTGTTAAACTTGATTCCTTTCCATAAACTCTGTAACCCAGTGACATCGGCCTCTGTGCTGCTCCTTACACAAGCTATTCCACGTTCATTCTACTCGTTGTATTTTTGTTGGCTGTTTCTCATGTCTGGAAGGTTCTCCCTCCTCATCTCCACTGCCAGGCTTCCCTGGCTTCCTTCAAGTCCCAGCTAAAATCTAACCTTCTGTAAGAAGTCTTTTCTGATCCCCGGTAATGTTGGTACTTTTCCTCTAAGAGTAATTCCAATTTATCCTGTGTCTATCTTGTTTGTACATAGTCGTTTATCTGTTTGCATGTTGTCTCCCCTGTTAGACTATGAACTCCTTGAGGTCAGGAACTATTTTTGCCTTTCTTTATATCCCCATAACTTAGCATAGTCCCTGGCACACAGCAGGTACTTAATAAATACTGCTGACTGACTAGCTATTACTCATGTTGGCATAAAACCAAATTCACCCTAGTTTCACAGTACCTATGCAACAAATGATCTTAAGGCAGAACTAAAATCGTAAATTTAATTTTCTATAATATTAAATTAACTATTTACTTGAATTATTGGTCTGTCTCTCTTAGTCTTAAGTTTCCTTACTGGTAGGGAACATTTCTTTCACAATACTTTTAACACAGTAGGTACTTAAATGTTTATTGAATGAATAAATGTCCTGCAACTGAAATAAAGAAAAAAAAAGAATGAAGAAAAATATAAGATAGAGTAGGAAGGAGAAAAAGCCAAATAGGCTGAAGAGTCAGGAAAGAAAGCAACAAATTTCTGTTGTGTGAGGAGAAGAGAAAGACTAGAATAAACTCTATGGGTGTCTGTGTGTGTGTATGAGACACAGAGAGGGAAAGATACGGAAAAAGAGAGAAAGAAATGAACAGAGCCAGAGAATGAGTCATGAAACAGAGAGAAAACGGAAAGACAGGGTAAATTTACAAATGGAATTTTAAAATGTTAGCAGAAACCAGAAAAGTGTCGTGGTCAAGTTTCCAAAAAAAAAAAAAATAATAAAAAAAGAAGAGTAAATGGAGTGATACCAGTATGAATGGGTTGGCTCCCTTTCGGATATCCACACCAGCCTCGGAGTTGGAATAAATGTTATTATCAGCAATCAAGCCTCCTGCTTCCAGGCGCAAAAATATTCCTGATGCTTTGCAATGGTAAATGTCATTCTTTAGCATGATGATCTAAACCAGAAAAAGAAAGTATTCTTTATTGTTTGGTTATAAAGCTCTAAAATACACGACACAATGAAAAGTCTAGTACTGCCCTTACCAGTTGACATGTATCTGGATTCTTTTCAATTCTCTTAATGCTTCGGTTTAAGTAACATGTATGCATATGTGTATGTAGGTATAATGTGTGTATACATGTATATACACACACATATATATTGTATATACAAACAATCTGGCTTTAGCTTCCAAACAATAGCATATTTCCCTACTCCACCCCACGTCTCATTATTCTACTCAGAACTATGACTTCCTTATCACCTTCTTGTCAATTTCTTGAAGAAAGTTGGATCAGAGTTTAATGTTTACTCCACATTTATCTATAGTTAGACACATGGGAATATTATTTAAAAACAAAACCAAACAACTATTTTTTAAAAAAATCACAACTTCAAATCATGCAGCCTAGCTGTGAACTGATAGGACCCAATGGAGATGAAAAGAGTAGCTATCATGTAGCTAGAAAGAAAATGGGGGAAGAGATAGGGAAGGATTTTCTGAGCAAGGGCACTGAAATGAAGCCAGAAGCAAAAGATTCTTAAAAACAATGTCTGCAGCCTCAAAAACAAAACAAAATAAAACAAAATACAGTGTTCACCTGTGCACTGTGTAAAACTAGAAGCCACACCCACAAAACAGTGATCAACATCAGCAATATTCATTGGCACATTAAATATAGAGATGTTCAGGAAGGCAATAATTTATTCTGAGTCCCTTTGCCATTGCTATATCATTTTGGGAAAACCAGCACTGAAATGTGGGTTGAATACAAATGGAATGGTGATCTCATTCCTATCCTAATAAATTTTGTCGTTGTTCAGTTGTTTCAGTCCTGTTCGACTCTCTGTGACCCCATTTGGGGTTTTCTTGGCAAAGATACTGGAGTAGCTTGCCATTTCCTTCTCCAGCTCATTTTACAGATGAGGAAACTGAGGTAAACTGGGCTGAGTGACTTGCCCAGGGACATAAAGCTAGTATGTGACTTACTTTCTGGCATAGACTGGCACAGGTCTACTCTGTCCATCATTGGAGGAAAAATTTTAAAAAATCAACTTGAGCCTCCATAATCACCTAGTCCCAGGCTGAGCTTTCTCTCCCCACTCCCAGCTATTTCAGGTACCTTGCCATCTGCCCTTCCACTATTATGTATTCCAACCCCCACCCTTTTCTACCTCTTCCTAAGCTCCAAACCATCCTAGAACCCATATGAGATGAGCCAGTATTAGGAAGACATGTCACTACCAGGAGCACCCACTTCTTTAGCTCCCACCTTTTACAAGGCAGCCTGACCACTCACAAGGCTTGGATGACATGGAAGCCAACAGCTCTACTGCCTCTAGGACAAAATACAAACTTGTGTTTGCAATTTCAAGGCCCTCACAATCTGGCTCCCATCTGTCTTTCCAGGCTGATTCTACATTATTCCCCCCACACACCCTAAGCTCCAGGCAATGTAATCAACTTGCCATCCATCATATATAACATCTCCATTCCCCATCTCTGCACCTCTGTACAAGCTGACCCCAGGTCTGGAATAGTCTCCTCATTTCTTTGACTGTCTAGGTCCTTTCAGGCATCAACTCAAATGCTACCTCTTTCTTTCTTCTTTTTTTTTTTCTGGTTAGGCAATGGGGTTAAGTGATTAGCCCAGGGTCACACAGCTAGTAAGTATTATGTGTTTGAGGCCGGATTTGAATTCAGGTCCTCTTGAATCCAGGGCCGGTGCTCTATCCACTGCGCCACCTAGCTGCCCCCCAAATGCCACCTCTTTCAAGTGGCCTCTCCTCACTGGGATGTTTGGAATGACATGGAAGCTGGTCTTGAGGAGGCAGGTGAGGGTAAGAGTTGGTCTTACCCTAATCCTTAGGCTACTAAGCATGAAGAGTAACACTGGCTGAGACACTGGTGACTTTGCACAGCCCCCTCTCACTGAAATCCAATTCACTTGCATGTGATGGCATCACCTCCCTGATGTCATGGTCCTCTTCGAGAACAAAGAACAAAGGGCAAGAAACTTGCAAACTGTTCTCTCAGGGCGAGTGCTTGAGTCCTCTTCATTGAATGAGAAATGTTAAAACTATAAGCCACAAACATTAAAATATTTCCTGTAGGTTTTCTCCCAGAGGTGTTATTATAACTTCCTACAGTTTTAAATTTATCTTTATTTGGTGCTACTTTAGGGAAATCAAATCATATTAATTTGAGGAAAAAACCCAAACATTTCAGATTATGACAGCAAGGTAAACATCGTTGCCCAAAGAAGCAAGCCCTTGAAAAAGAAAGGCTATTATTATAGTCAGTATTAAATAGCTAACCCTTAATTCTCCTTTCTAAGTGGCGCATTTCAGGTCATTCTCCTACCACTAGCTAATGAGCTAACTAATTAGCCACCTAGCCAGCATTTACATAGCTCTTTAAGGTGCACAATGTGATTTATGTGTATTATCTCTTTTGATTATCATAGTAACCTTGTGAACTTCATGCTACAATTAATCCCAATTTACAGATGAGAAATCTGAGCCTGAGAGAGGTTAAGTGATTTGCCCAGAGTCACACAGCCTAACACTCCAAATAGTCTCTTTTATCTACTATCTACTTCACTATCAGTTCAATTTCTCTGAAAATAAACTCAGGTCAGAGGAGTCTGATTTACTCAAATGTCCAAAGCACCTTGCTTGGCTTCAGAGATGTCCTCTAGGAATTTTCAAGGCTTTTCTCTCTAACTTACCCTTTAAACTTCAATTTTTCCTGAAAAGTACAATGATTGCCCATTAAATATGATAGTCAAATCAGGAGGCTTTGCAAATAAGATAAACCACAAAGACTATAGTAGGAGAATAATATTTCAAGTAGAAGAACAAATTATGAGCAAAAGGGCTTATTAAAAAGAATGAAATCATATTGAGATTCTAATTAACCTTACATAAGTTAATGACACATTTGAGTTCTACAAGGCGTGAATGACATTGTTGGTTCACAGTTCTGGAAATAACTTGGATTAAGGTTGTTAGACAAAGTGCTAGACAAATTTCACTTCTGATAGAAGACAAAATTCATTTCTGAAAGAGTTGGCTTGGTCTTTTCTCCCAAGCGATCTTCAGAATGGGGAAAACAATAGACTGGGTGAAATTCAATTGCATAGTGATGGAGACAAAAGATAAAGCTGTTTGTTCTACACAATATCCACACTGTGATTTAAGAGTGTGGGGAATTTGTTAATGCTCCTGGTATGTCATGAGTTTGGGCTCTAGGGATACTCCCAACTTGGGTGTTGCTCAGGGTCTGAAATGAATTTCTCTGGCATCCTATAGTTTTCACCTGAACCATAAGACAGGTCCTGGCATTTATTTTTTATTTATTTCACTTTAAGATTTTTTGAGTTCACTTTTACAATTTTAGGTCATTAATTGAATAAAACCATGAGCTTAGAAATATCAAATGCATTCTAAAGCCAGCTTCAAAATATTTAACTCTTTAAGTTACCAAGATGTGAATTCAGGAAACTTTTCAAGAAGCAGTTAACGTTATTATCACACATAGCAGCCTGTGAACTATCTCTTTATATCCAGTCAATTCCTGGGTAAACAGGGTCTATTAAAGGTATCAGTGAAATATTGTTAAATCAAGGGAGCACTGTTGGGAAAATGATTTTAATTAAAGTTAATTAATTCTCCAGGAAGCAAACTAAAAATGGGTCTTATTTAATGGCTGGTTTAAAAAAAATTCTCATAATATAACAAAATAAGAAAATAAATGAAAATAATAAAACTAATTATCATAATAACTGGGGATTCACAGATACATATCTGTTTCAGCCTTGGACAGCTATAAAACTGACAAAGTTAGACCTCTCCTTTCTCTTCCTAAGGAAGAGGGAATGGGCAGAAGTGTCCCAGGAGTGGATGGCCATCAGAAAAAAATGCAAACACACTGAAGGGTGGTTGTAAGAAGTGCTGCTACTAGGACACAGACAGAAATTCCAGAAGGGCCAGATGTTTTTGGCGGAGCGAGGGTAGGACGATGAGACCCTGTGTGCCCCATAAGGGGGAGAGGAGATGAGAGTTAGAAAGAGACTGCAGTATCCCTACTGACATAACTACAAATGGTGAAACTTTTACCTCCCTAGAGGTCTCAATTCACTCTGACTCTTGAGTTTGAACATGTGTACTTGCATCTGTGTGTGTACACACACACACACACACACACACACACACACCACACACAGTCTATTTCTCACTTTAATCTGTTTGCTTTCTATATTTGCTAAATGTTCTAAAAAAAAAATCAGTTTCCCTAAGACAGAAATTTCCTGACTTTTTGATCTCAGGACCCTTTTACACTGTGAAAAATTATTGAGGCCTCTTCTCCAAAGACCTTTTGTTGATGATGTTTATAACTATAGTTTTTTTTTTTTTTTTTACTATATTAGAAATTAGAACACCCAAGTGTCATTATGAAAACAGTTTTGATCTTGTGCTTTTCTAAGACATAGTCATTGTGCGTATATGTATTTTTCCTTGGGGGAAAAAGCAAAAGAAACTTAACTAAACTGGAAACTATGGTCACCCTGGGGCACAGAGAGAAGAGGGGAAAACTTTTCTATGGTTGAGATCAACAGCTGGGGCCCAAGATGGACAAAAAGGATTTTTAGTGAAATCTATCATTATAGCTCCCCAGATCAAGGAAAAGATTGACTGAATCTGGACTCATACCTAGAAGTAAAAATGAGTCAAAGGCATGGTGGGAGAAGGTTTGATAATTAAGTCCAAGCAGAAGGAAGCCCCTCTCTGAGGTAGTGGTCAAACCCTCTCCTCCACCCAGAGGGAGCAGAATGGATGGGGGTGATGAAGGGAAAAGCCTGAAGGAAAGAACTGAGAAACAGTGGTTTTGCCTACAGCAAGGTCAGGGTCAGAGAAGACTAGCTAGTTTTCCTTTTCAGTCAAACAAAATGA